ACACCACCATTGGTGAGGGAAATGTGGCAGTGCTTGCTGCTGCTCCTGCACTCTGTCCTCTCTCTGGATGCTGTGGGTGAAGGAGGGAAAGCACTGTGTGCATAAACCTCCCCCCATTCAGCAGGAGGCTGCGTGTTCTCTGCCTGAAGCCATCTCTTACGTTGCCCAGCTTCACTCTGCTCGCTTTTTCCCAACTCCTTTTACTTTTCTGCCCTTCAGAGCTCTTCAGCATGTCCCTCAATGCCAAAACCAAAGTGCGAGGGCTGATTGAAATCATCTCCAACGCTGCTGAGTATGAGAACATCCCCATCCGGCACCACGAGGACAACCTGCTGCGCCAGGTGAGGTGGAGCTTCAGCGCTGCAGGGCAGAGCCTGCCTTTGTTTTCTGCTCTGCAAGGCCTGAGCTCTGACTGCTCCCTCATTTCTCCCCGTAGCTGGCCCAGAAAGTCCCCCACAAGCTGACCAACCCCAAATTCAACGACCCCCACGTCAAGACCAACCTCCTGCTGCAGGCTCACTTGTCGCGCATGCAGCTGAGCGCCGAGCTGCAGTCGGACACGGAGGAAATCCTCAGCAAGGTGCAGCGGGGCGGGCAGGGGGGAGAGGCTGCCGTTTCCCCAAGTGTTGCTTTCTAACCCATCCCTGCCCCCTGCCTGCAGGCGATCCGACTGATCCAGGCGTGTGTGGATGTCCTGTCCAGCAATGGTTGGCTGAGCCCTGCGTTGGCCGCCATGGAGCTGGCACAGATGGTGACCCAAGCCATGTGGTCCAAGGATTCCTACCTCAAGCAGCTGCCTCACTTCACCTCTGAGCACATCAAGCGCTGCACTGACAAGGTCAAAACCCACCCCCCAATTAGGAGAATTAGGGACGGTGACGTGAGCACGGGGACCCCCAGCTTTAACAGCTGTGCCGTTGCAGGGGGTGGAGAGCGTGTTTGACATCATGGAGATGGAGGACGAGGATCGGAACGCGCTGCTGCAGCTCTCGGATGCGCAGATCGCCGACGTCGCCCGCTTCTGCAACCGCTACCCCAACATCGAGCTGTCCTACGAGGTGGTGGAGAAGGAAAGCATCCGGAGGTGAGGAGGGGGGTGGCAGCACCGTGAGGCCCTGCAGTGCTGCGTTGGCACCCTGACTTTGCTTCTCTCCACGCAGCGGAGGACCCGTGGTGGTGCTGGTGCAGCTGGAGCGTGAGGAGGAGGTCACCGGTCCCGTCATCGCTCCCCTGTTCCCTCAGGTGTGTGCCAGGAGCCAGGCAGGGCTTTTAGGGCAGCAGAATGGGGGAAATGGTCCCCAACGCTGTGTGTCTGCTCTCTTTGTCCTCTGGCAGAAACGTGAGGAGGGCTGGTGGGTGGTGATCGGCGACTCCAAGTCCAACAGCCTCATCTCCATCAAGCGGCTGACGCTGCAGCAGAAAGCCAAGGTGAGCAGGGGCTGCGTGGGGCTGAGGTGGGTTCATGAGCCCCCCAACCCCGCAGCCCTGACACCCCATTCCTTCCCTGCTCCCAGGTGAAGCTGGATTTCGTGGCTCCGGCCACGGGGACGCACAACTACACGCTGTACTTCATGAGCGACGCCTACATGGGCTGCGACCAGGAGTACAAATTCAGCGTGGATGTGAAGGAGGCTGAGAGTGACAGCGAGTCTGATTAGTGGGGGCTGTGCTGCCCTGCTCCGGTGAGGATCCGTGACCAAACCGTAGTGCTTCTCACCTCCCTCTGTGTGTATTTCCTGTTTTTTAGGATGTTGTACAGTGGTTTTTTTTAGAACAGAGTTACGTCTGCAGCAGCTGGAATATAAATGCTGAGCCTTCCCCAACCCTCTTTTGCCCACTTGCTGTGTTTTGGGGTGAAAGCACAGAAGCATTTGGGGTTGTTTCCTCCTGACAAAGCAGTCTTGACCCGCTCTGCTTTCTCCCTTAAAGCTGGGAGGCTGAATTTCAGCACCTTCCCACCTCATTGAGTGCTTCTATGCCCTTAGGTTTGCTGCTACAAGTTAATTAGCAGAACTAATTAAGGCAAAGTGAGCTGTCAGCGGGGAGAAGCGGCGGTTCTGGGGTTTGGCAGGAGGAGCAGAGGCTGCCACCAGCCCAGGAGCAGCTTCTGGGCGCAGCACAGGCACAGCAACACCTCCCTGGGGCTGTGCTTTACTGGGAGGGGTCCAGCCCTCACAAAACCTGTTCCCTGCTGGGCTCTGCTCCCCCATCACCCTCCAGCCCTGGGGGCAGCACCTCCACCCTCTCCAAAAAGAAGAGCCCGGAGGCTTTGGGCTGAGCTGACAGCAGGGATTTATTGAGCACACAGCAGGGAGAGGCAGCGTTCCCCTCTCTCAATGCCTCCCCTGCTCCTGGCAGAGGAGATGTGGCTTTTGGGCCAGACAAAATTCACCTGCAAGAAGGCTCGAGTCCAAATGGCAGAAGGAGGTGGGACACAGGTTGGTCACCCCCATCCCCTTCTCTGTAACAGCAGTGGGCTTTAGGAGAAGCACAGCCATAGCAGGGTGCCCCAACCCCTCAGCACACTTCAGGCTGCTGGTACTTCCAGAAGGCAATCTCGCCGTCGTCGCTGCAGGAGGCGAGCAGCCCCGTCTCCTTTGGGTTCCAGGCCACGCAGTTGACATCCTGCGAGTGCGCCCGTGGCACGTGGGCTGTGAGGCTGAAGGTGGGCTGCTGCTGCTGTGGGGAGGAAGACGAGCTCTCCTCGAAGACCCGGATGGCGTCGTCACCGCAGGCTGTGGCCAAAGCTCCGGTGAGGCGGCACCTGGAGGGGAGACAGAGTGAAATATCACCCAAATCCTGAGAGAGGAGAGAACCAGGCAGCATCCCTGCTGCTGCACGCTCACCATGACACGTCATAGATGGTCCTGCTGTGGTAGCCTGAGAGGTTGCAGACGCATTTCCAGGTGGGGTCGGTGCCGCTGCACGCCACCCCTAAAGGACAGGAGGAAAAGCTCAGCACGCTGCTGGGCAGGAGGGGGAAAATCACAGCGCTGAGCATTCAAAGCCACAGCGAGGGGTCGGGGTGGGAGCTCACCCTCCTCGTTGCCAGGTTTGTAGCACTGCCAGATGCGCACCGTCTTGTCGTCGCTGCAGGACGCCAGGCGCTCCCCGCTGCCATCGAAGGCCACGCTCCACACGGTGGATTCGTGGCCCTCCAACGTGGCACAGCACACCCAGTCGTCCTCCTCCTCGTGGTACAGCTTCACCGTGTCGTCGTAGCTCGCCGAGGCCAACAGCTGGGAGAGGAATCAGAATCACAGACCGTCCCCAACCAGAGGGGATCCATAGGGATCATAGAGCCCAACCCCTGGCTCTATAAAGGATCTCTCAAACCCTGTGGCTCATAGAGGTGCCCTGACCCTCCTTCAGGCCTTCCCCCTGCCCTGCAGCACAGAGCCTTTCCCAGCACACAGAAGGATGCTCTCAGCTCGAGGGTTCTCACCTCCTGGCTGGGGTGCCAGACCACGTGCTTGACATCCTGAGTGTGCGAGTTGAGGACGCTGACGCACTCGTACTCCTCCTCTTCATCCACTGCGGGGAAAAACAACTCTCTCCATGAGGGAATGAAGACACAAGTGGGGATGCTGTGCTTCAGGCCCTGTCTGTTCCCCCACACAGCACCAGCACCCACCTTCCCAGACCCAGACGCTCTTGTCACGGCTGCAGGTGGCCAGCAGGCTCCCCGAGGGCGCCCAGGCCACCGACTTTACTTCGTTCTCATGGCCTTCCAGCGTGGTGACGCACTGTGGGGAGAACACAGAGAGCTGCAGGACTCTGCTGTGGGCAGGTGGTGGGGCAGGGGGATGGGTTGGTGGGGGGGGGCCTCACCTCGAAGCCGTCCTCGCACCGCTTCCAGATGCACGTGGTGGCATCGAAGCTGGCAGAGGCCAAATAGGAGCCGCAGGGCGACCAAGCCACCCTACGCACCGTGCGCTGGTGGCCATCGGCCAGCACTGCCCGGCAGACCCAGCCCGACCCTGAGGGGGGGGAGTGGGAATGATGGGGAACCGCGATCAGAGCC